CATGTTCCACACCACAAAAGCTTGGAAGACGGGAACCGTCTTGGGGGTTGCTATGTCTGGCAGATCTGACATGTACAAACCAGACACAGCGCCTGAGCTCATTAAAATAGCGGCCAGCGTTTTCCCTAAATACCCCCAATTTGTCTTTTCTTCCCGACAACAGCTACCACGGTGATCAGCCCTGCCGACCAGCCCTGCCTGCAAGGCATCGCCTGGAAAGCTTCATGCATTGCCCCACCTGGGTCGGGCATTCACAGATGTGCAAGAGGCAAAGCAGGTTCCTCGGCGGGAGACATTCAAAACCATTTCTTTCCACATACATAACCATCATAACCCATACGGGAGAAACCCATGTGTGATATGACCATGGAGATCTAGCATGGGATAAACAGGTTCAGTAAGTTTGGGATGATGTAAGGTGGCAGCTGGAGTCAGTTTCGTGCAGAAGTCGTTGGAGAGTTTCAATGTCCGCTCTGTCAAGACGACGCTGCTCGTGGACATGTTCGGATACGACGCATTCCCTGCGTTGGCAAGCCTGCAGGATACTCATCCCAATCGTGGTTTTGTTTTGGTCTCCAAAGCAAAAGTTGACAATGTCAAGGGGGGTGTCCTCCCACAAGGCTACAGTGGACCCAGAAGTTTCAAACATAGTTAGGATGGCTGAAGCCCTTGAAGCCCACATATGAACGATTCCAAGTTCCAAGTTGACCAATTAACTGTAAGGAGACACAAGAAGGCCGTGATTGCCTTTGTGCCACACTATGCTTTGAGAACAGTGGGCAGGACCTCATCAACAGAATTGCCAACGAGGTGTACGAGCAAGCGAGGTCCGGCCAGTTGCAGCTATCATCGTTCCCTTCCTTTGAGCCCTTGGTGAACGCTCTGAAGCAAGGCAATGCCACGCAGGAGTCCAAGCACTACAGAGTCAGTGTTCAACGACACGACCAGCTCTTGGTTTTGGACACTTATGCCCGCAAGTGGTTGGATGATTCCAATTTCGCTGATCAGGCCAACGAAGTGATCAAGAATCACAACGCCGAATACAATGCTTCAGGTGACTTCCTCATGACATCTGTGAGGAGAGCTTTGTCCCAACAAATCAGTGTGAGATTGAATCATAATGCTGCCAGTTGGTCGGGTATTACAGTTTGAAGTGTATACCAAATACCGAGCCCTGTCTTCTATATTCCATTTTGCAAAAACTAACTTCCTTGGGTGACCCCCAAGAGTATCTTTTGCATCCATGCACATCCCATCTCAGAACCTGGCAGGAAGGAAGAGGCAGGAGATGATGCAGCAGAATCGGTGGAGAGACCTACCAAGCGGATCAAGCTGGAATCATGCAAGACAGAGGACGTCATGAAGCTTCCACAGTCGATCCTTGTTCAAGCTTAAGGGATATTCTATTTATTGACCTAAAATCCAGTCTTGGTGTGGGCCCGGAACATGTTTGGTTGCTTTCTCACCCAACCCACTAATGTCACCAAAGATACATTGGTCAGTGAAACAGACCAAGCCAAGGAAGGTCCTGCAGATCAACAACACTTGCGATTTGGTTGCTGGTGGGGACAAGATCTACATGTCCAGCAGGAATCGAAACCAGTTTTTCCAATTGCGTGAGATGCGGCTTGGCTGCTGACAGCACTCAAACGCCAAGAGTTTATATAATAAATAGCTGATATGTAATGATTTGTTATCAACATACTATGCATATTGAATATAAACT